CCAGAGGAGCCGCCTGAGGCCAAGCCAGGGCTCCTCTCGGGCTGCAGGGGGCTGCAGGCCTGGGCACCGGGGGGCTGCACAGCCAGCTGCGGAAGCCCCAGCGCTGGAGGCTGACTACGTTAGGGAGGACTCCAGACACAGGCGAGGGGCAAATGGCCTATGACTTAAGCTGCCAACCTCTGTCCCGGACCTGGCTGGCCAACGACTAGCTACTGTCCCCTCCTCCGCCCGCCTCTGCCCCTCCTTACTGCTCATCTTGGGCAACTGGAAGAATAAGGCCTCAAAGCCAGGATGTCGCCGCTCGGTGTTGGTTATCAGCGTGACGAGCAGGACATTCTGGGAGGAGAGGAAGGTCAGGTTGTAGGAGGGGGGGTAGCTGCCACACAGCCTGTGGGGGCAAAAGGGGCGGGCGTTAGCGAGAGCAAACGAAAGCCAAGCAGAGGGGGCCCAACGACCCCATCCCTGAGCCTGGTTCGGTCCACAAAAGGCCAAGGGTGGGGTTCAAAAGCCCTGCCCCACCAAACCAGAGACCTAAGTACGGATTTAGTTTAAAATAGCAAAACTTCAGAAACATTGGCTGACTAACATTAGAGGATTCATTAAGTCAACTACAGGCTAAATAATAATAATTGCAATAGTAACAGCACGAACAGTTAACACTTATTAAGAACATGCCAGGCCCTGTTCTTCGTGCCTGTATATCTATTAACTCAGGTAGCTTCATGACAACTCTATGAAGTAGAGACAATTAGACCCATTTTACAGATGAGGACACTGAGGCACGGAGAAGTGAAATAACATGCCCATGATTCCACAGTCAGTAATACTGTGTCAGGGCTGAAATTCAAACCCAGATCGGGCTCCAGAGCCCACAGGGCCAATGTCCTGCTGCTTCTCAACTACACCACGTCTGTCCCCAGTGAAAAAGGACCATTAGAGACTGAATTACTGATCTGGAAAGACCATCACAATAAAGGGTGGGGCAAAAGTCGGTTTAAAATTGTGATACATGAAACAGTTAATTCTTGTATTATTTATTAATTGTATTATTTTCCTTACAAACAACTGTACACCTACTGTTGCCCCACCCTGTATACTTCATTTTTATTTTTATTGTTCTATTTTTTCCCTTTATTTTATACTTCATTTTTTAGCTATATTATCCTATATTTAAATATAATCATAAACACATAAATATACAGCAGAAGTGTCTGCAAGAATACACATCACAAAATTAGCAGACTGTTTCAAGAAAGTAAAATTATGAATGATGTTTGTTCTCTTTACACATGTCTGTTTTCTCTTTACACATGTCTGTTTTCACTTTTTCCTTTCAGGAGACGTATTTATTTGTGGTACAATTAATAAAGCAGAAAAGAAAAGAACCCTGCAAAAAACGGCGTGTAGACAGAAATCCTGTTAAGTTGTGGCAGCAGGTGGGTCTATCTTGGTTTTGGCTTGAATGTTAGCCCTTTATTAATCATGAAACGTCTGCCCAGCCCATTTCCACCGGCAGAGCTGGGGAGGGGCAGTTCGCCCCACCCGCAGGGCCTCTGAAGGCAGCGCCTTCCCGACATGCAGCTGGCTGGGGTGGCGTTCATCTCGCACCCCGGCCTCCTAGGCAGGTACAGTATGCCTTCTGATTTCCCGTAATCCTGATGCTTTCTCACCTGGGGCCTTCCTGACTCTGAAGAGACTGCCCTCCCTGGGTTAGATCATTTCTAGAGACAGTAGAGACACAGCCAAGGCCCAGCCTCACATGCAAACCAACCAATCCAGAGCCCACCCACACCACCTCTTCCCTGGGGCTCCTACACTCCAGGCCACCATCCACCTGCCCTAATCTCCCACAACTGACTGGCACCAGCCCATGAGAGACAGCCCTAGGCCCCAGAGCCCACTGGAATTATTCTAACCACCTCCCCTGCCTTGCCTTGCCTTTCCTGCAGAAACAACTAAACAGCCTCGCCTCTGTTTTCCACCAGTGTCCTCTGCCTCCTGACCCACCCTGGTGCTTCTCCAGGTGGCCCCCTCCTCTTGGGAACTGTGGGTAGCAAACTATCTTTTCAATGGCAGCGTCTCCTGATCTGTCAGCCTCAACAAAACCGTGTTTTACAGCAGCAGGCCGCACCTTTGCTCTGGCAGGTAAGGGAGAACACCCTGCTTACTGGTGTCTGGGGACCAATGAGCCCTCCTCACCACTGCCAAGGCAGAGGAGTCACCTCCGAGACGCTCTGCTGGAACTCATGCTGAGGATGGCACCTCACTGGTCCTGTGCTGCCTGCAAGTTTGCAGCGGCCTGTGGCCAAGAGTCACACACTGTCTCCAACCTACGCTGCAACTCGTTCCAGAGGCCCAGCCACCAGGCAGCTGCCGAGCTCCCACAGCCCACCTCTGTTCCCGGGACACTCACTGCACCACAGTACGGGGTTCCACGGGGCTCAGGGTGTCATATACAATGACCCGGTCATTGCCACGGCTGTCACAGGCAGCAACATCAAAGCTTCGGAAGGTGAGGCCCAGCACGGAGTTGGCGTCCCCCCGCAGGGTCCACTGGCAGCGGGCAAAGGCTGGGTAGGGGCTGTCAGGAAAGCCAGGTGTGCTGAAGCGGGTGATCTCCCCCCAACGGGCGTGCAGGGCGAATCTGCATCTGTCTGTGGGACACAGAGCATGGGGAGCAGAGCTGGGCAAATCTGGGCAGAGCCAGCAGGGCGAGCAGCCAGAGCCCCGCAGGAGGTGCCCCAGGGCCGGGGCTTCTCCTGGCCTGGGACAGGCGAAGGGATGTGCTGGCTACCACCAATGCGTGACTTCGGGGGACCCGTGCATTGAAGGGGCCACATCCCACATCCCCCCTCGGAGGGCACGATACTCACTGTCCTGGGTGGTCTGTACTGTTCTGGGGTCGGTGGCTGAAAAACAAGCGGGAGCACGAAGGGTTTACAGGTCTGGCCGTTTCCTTATGCCCTAGGGAGGCGCCGCCAGGGCGCGTCTTCTCTTCCCGCACAGGGGCCCAGCTCCCTGCCGCGGTGCCCCTGCTCCACCCCAGGCGGGCCCCCAATGGCCACCCCGGTGCCCGCACTCACGGAAGGCCACCACCGAGGTCAGCACGAAGGAGTGCAGGGTGCGGGTGCGGGGCGGCAGCCGGATGGCGCGCTCCTTGGCCATGGCGCGCTCGGCCTCCTCTGCCAGGTGGCTGGGGATGCTGAACTCCGACCAGTAGTAGGCGATGATGCTGCCTTCGCTGCGGAGAGGGGCCAGGGTGAGGTGCGGGCGGCCCTGCGCACCCGCCTGTCCCCACTCTCCGAGATCCCGGGTGCAGACCCAAACCCGAATGTGGAAAAATAACAAAGCAGCACTACACTCCTGAGCGGCTTATGTGGCAGGTGCGATGCAAAGCTTGCCACCTGCCCGGGCACCCTTCGTCATGGCAACACCGCCCAGACGGAAGCTGAGTCACGGGCGTGAAGGACAGCCCAGGACGGGCCCCTTGGTTCCCCAAGCCAGGACCTCCTGGCTGCATCACCATGCAGGCTACCAGGCACCTGTCCTTCTGTGACAACACACCCATCCCATTCCCAGCACTCCCCCACCCCGCCTCTCCCCAGCACCCACCTGAAGGCAGTCACTGTCGACTCCTTGTGGTAGGGACCCAAGACAGGGATCTCACTGTACAGCAGCTTCAGCTACACAGGAAGGAGAGGAGGCTCGGACAGGCCGGAACGCAGGAGGGCCCCTGCCCCGGCCCACACCGCTCCCTCCCTCCTGGGACCTGGGTGCCCTCTGGTGTCCCACACCAACCCAGGGAGCAGACAGCAGGGACAGGGCTCAGGCCCAGGAGCTGGACTCACCGCCTCCTTCACTTTGATGGCCAGCTCTGCAAACTCAGTGGAGTTTGGGTTCTCATAAGCATCCAGAAAGTTCTCATTTGTGATCCTCAGGTAGCCATTGAAGACCTTCTGGACCCTCACGTCCCGGTCTGTGCAAGACCAGAGAAGAATAGTCAAGGGAAGTGACATCACCCCTGTCCCGTCCCCCCCCGTCCACAAGCTGCCCTCAGCAGCCCCAGGGGAGTTACGATGGGGGGTGTGGAGCCGGTGGGCCAGGTCTCTGCTGGGTCCACACCATGCTCAGACCCAGGAGCATGAAAAGCAACAAAACTGACAAACACCGGAGTGAGGGCCAGTGGACATATGAGCCCCACGGGTCAGCTCTGACCAATTCCTCACCCACCCCCCGCTACAGCCTGAAAGAGAAAAGGGGAGACAGGGTCTTAGACCCCTCCTCAACCACCCCCACCGCACCTCCATTCTCTCTCTCGTGTCCATAAGAGGTGGGCCCTGGGTCTGTCCCTGGAGGGAGGAGGTGGAGCCTCCCCCACATCGCCCTCCCCAGACCTCCCCCAGCTTTACTCACACTGGAAGTGCCACACCAGTAAGCCAGCCGTGAGAGACAGCAGGAAGATGGCAAGCACAATCGCCAGCACCACCCAGGGCCTGAGGCCTCCTTTCTCAACCTTCTTGGTGTTGTTGACAGGCAGGAACTCCAGGCCTTCCTCAAAGCCATTCATGCTCTGAACAGAGAAAGGCGCAGCAGCTCAGGAACTCTCTCGCACCTCAGAGCCCATCTAAACCCAGCCCCAGCTCTCCGCTGACATGAATCATCTTTGATGCAGACAGATGCCCAGGTGTGGGTGGGCCCAGCCCAGGGCCATGGGTGCAAGCTCCTGAAGGCAGCCCCTCCTCCAGCCACCACAGCCCCAGGCCCCACCGGTCCCCTGCACCAGAGCCTGGGCGCAGCACGTAAGTTGTACACCCTACCCAGCGGCCTTGCTTCGCCAATGTTTAACCAAAGCAAAAAGGCAGTAAACCCGGGCAGCTCTGCTGAGCCACTGGGGAGCAAGCCGCCCTGCTTTTAGCCTTAGGTGTCCGAGTGCAGGATTTCAAGGTGAGGTGAGGTCACATCTCTACTGGAATCCACACTCGTGCTCAGACCCCAGAGCAGGAAAAGCAACAAAACTTCCCACAAACAGGATGGCAGCTTCCCCAGTGCCTCCCCGTCAAGGGGCATCAGGAAGGGGTCATGAATGTGGGTGGGGCAGGCGCGGGGTCAGCAAGCCACGGCGGTAGAACTTTTCCAACACATGCTATCCGCCTGCCCTCAATCCTACAGAGGGGCTGTGCGTCATGAAACTTAAAGGTATATAAGCTTAACTACCTCATATCCACTGCAAAAGGAATTGTAAATAAAAGCAAGAGCCCACATCCCAAATTCCACAGATGTGGCCATTTTAAAGTTTCCAGATGTGTTTCTTCTGGTGTTAACCTCCTAGCTCTAAACAACGTGCTCAAACTGACATTTCTTGGTTTGTCACATTTAAACATTATCTGTGAAAGATTCTCCCCACTCATGCCACTTGGATACTTTTTTTTTAATGTTTTCATTGATTTTTTAGAGAGAGAGGAAATGAGGGAGAGAGAGAAACATCTGTGAGAGAGAAACAGCAACCAGCTGCCTCCTGCACACCCGCACCAGAGGCTGAGCCCACAACACCGGCATGTGCCCTGGCAGGGAACGGAACCGGCGACCTCTCGGTGCATGGGACAACACTCACCCCACTAAGCCACATTGGTTGGTCTGGATACTTTTATCTCTAATTTTTTAGTTTCCTAATTGGTTGTATTTGTGACTTTATCTAAAATCTCACACAGAAACACACCCTACCGCTAACCTTACCATGGTAATCAGATTGCAGTATATAAATGTATCAAATCAACATGCTGTACACCTTAAACTTACACAATATTATATGTCAATTATAACTCAATAAAAATAAAATTTAAAAAAGAAACCTCAGAGGCAACTACTTAAAATGCTTTCATACTGCTTGCTCTGGAATTTATCTCCATGTTTCTAAATAACATGCCAATACCACTATCTCTTGATTCATCTATTTAAAATATTGTCAACTGACTTTCTATTATGATAATGTGGATTTTAAGGTCCTCCTTTGCTGTCTCTCACCCAATCTCCCAACAGATACTGGGCTAAAGCTCTAAAAAATTATATCCAGCCTGGCCAGCGTGGCTCAGCAGGTGAGCATCAACCTAAAATCCAGGAGATCTCGGTTCAGTTCCCAGTCAGGGAACATGCTTGGGTTTTGGGCTCAATCCCCAGCAGGGGGCATGCAGGGGGCATGCAGGGGGCATGCAGGAGGCAGCCGATCAATGACTCTCATCATTGATGTTTCTATCTCTCTTTCTCCCTCTCCCTTCCTCTTTCTGAAATGAATAAAAATATATTTTAAAAAATAATTTAAAAATAAATAATTCTATCCAAATAAATAAATAAATAAATAACTATATCCATACTCTATGTTTTCATTATTAGTCTTTGAAAATACTGGTCACTATTGTTTCCTTCCCCATACAACTATAGATTGGTTTTCCCGCTGCAAATACTCTTTTACTTGGGTTTCTTTTTAACATACACCCAAGTCTTTCCACAAAATTTAAGAGCTCTGTAATACTCTTCTAATCTCCCACATATCGCCTGCCAAATAACCTCTCACTTCATTTTCCTCCTAGGGCCTCCCTCCTACAACCCTTTGACCTGTCCCATAGCTGTTGTCTGGAACTTCCTTCACCATCACCCTTCATCTCCCTATTATGTTAAAACCCCTGTTTCCTGGATTCTATGTCTTCATCCCTCTCGGATTACTTCGTTTTGGTGGAACATATACTTCAGTAGCTTCCGGAGAAATGTGAGATTTTGCATATCTCTGAAAGTACCTTAATGTTAAACTCACATTTGTTGATAGTTTGGCTGGGTATAGAACTACAGGTTTCAAATAATTTTCATTTAGAAACTTGAAGGCTCCAGTGTTTTTTAGCTTCTAATTTGACTTTTGAGAAATATAATAGTACGCATCCATTATTTTTTATTCATGATTTTTCATCTTTCTCTGAAAGCCTTGAGGACGTGGTTTGATTTGGGTTTTTAAATTTCATGAACTGGGCTCTTTACTTGCCCTTTGAATTTGGAAACTCTTTTCTTTCAGCCTGGAAAACTTTCTTGTATTATTTCTTAGATTATGTTCTCCACTTCATATCCTCTGGTCTATCTTTCTGCATTTCTATTATGTGTAATGATCTATAACTTTTCCTTTCTCTGCTATTATCCATCTAGTTTCTTAATCTTTCTATTGGGTTTTTCATTTATGCTATTAAAACTTTAATTTACAAGAGTTCTTTCTTGTTCTCTAAACTTTGGGGTGAACAATCTTCTCTTCTTTGTGTTTCTACTGAGTATGTTTTCTCTGTTTTTATTTTCTCTTTCATGCTGAAGGCTTTTCCTCAAATGCCTGAGAATGCTTGGTTGTTCATGCATATTTAGGAATGAAGTCTGAAAGGCTCTTTGGAAGCTCTGGGTGAATGGCTTGGCACAAGTGACTTCACTGAAGGCCACAAGTAAGTTTTTTTTTTTACTGGGCGCTCCCAACAGTTAAGCTATGTAGATCTTTTCTATGGGGTGGTTTAATTGCTCTAGAGAACAATTTTCCAATCTCTTGGATGGAGCAATTTAAACTCAGCCACTAGCATTACAGAACATGAGAGAATAGACCTTTGCCTCTTTTCACCCCTCACTACAGCCTTCCTCTGCACCTCCCATCCCTTATGGGGGACTGGTGAGGTGGGGGTGTTTTGCTTGGGACAGAGGTGGAGATCTGAGGACTTCTAATAATGCCCTTCCCTTCTCAGCTCTATCTTCTATGAAGCCAAAGCCCAATTCCAGAGCCTGGGTGAGGACATGTCAACAGTGCATTCCTTCCTACTGTTAAGCAGTATCCCATCGTACAGATATAGAACAGTTTGTTCACCTATTCACCTATTGATGGATATTTGGGTTGTTTCCAGTGTGGGGCTCTCACAAACAAAGCTGCTATAAACACTCCTGCACAAGTCCTTGTATTGGCATAGGCTTTCATTTCTCTTGGGTAAATACCTGGAAGTAGAACAGCAGGTGTATCTTTTTAAGAAACTGCCAAACAGTTTTCCAGAGTGACTGTACTATTTTACATCCTCATGAGCAGTATATGAGGATTCCAGTTGTCCACATCCTGCCCAACACGTGGTTTAGCAAGGTTGCGGGATACAAGATCAATATATAAAAATCAACCGTATTTTTGTTTTTTATTTTTTTACTCCTTGCCCAAGGCTACGCTTCCATTGATTTTAGACAGGGAGGAAGGGAGAGAGAAACATCAATGTGAGAGAGAAACATTGACCTGCTGCCTCCCATACATGCCCCAACCGGGGCTTGAACCCGAAACCTATGTATGTGCCCTGACCAGAAATCAAACTCGAAACCTTTCGGTGTACGGGATGACACTCCAATCAACTGGGCCACCCGGCCAGGACTCCGTTGTATTTTTACATGTTAACAATGACCAACTGGAGATTAAAACTAAAAACAAAAATCATTTACAACAGCATCCAAATATGAAATACTTAAGAGGCAAATCTGACAAGAGATGTCTAAGACCTATACACTGAACAATACAAAGCAGTGCTGAAATTTTAAAAGACCTAAACAAATCAAACAATATTTCATGTTCATCGATTGCAAGACTAGATACAATGAAAAGGTCAACACTTAAATTTGTCTAGAGAGTCAACCCAATCTTGATCAAAACTTCAACAGGCTTTTTATAGAAACTGATGAGCTGCCCCAGGGGCCACCCCGGCCTGGCCTTGGAGCAAGGCCGTCAGCAGTGGGACAGATTCAACAGCAGGGCCTTGATGGTCCCTGCAGGGTGACGGCTGGGCTCCACTCAGCCCAGAAATGCTGTTTAATCAGTAACTAGACTGCTTCCTTTTATAACCCTACTCTCGGCTCCATTTTTAGGCATATTAGAGATCATCTTGCCTAACCCAGCCGTTTTATTGATAAGGAAACTGAGGCTGAGAGGGAGTGACCTGTACAAAGTCACGAAGGTGATGAAGTCAGTAAAGCTGGGATGAGACCACGCCCTGCCACCCCTGCTGAGTTTCGGCTGCTCACGGCGCAGGAGGGGGCAGGGGGCGCCCATCCATTCGGCCCCACTGCATACACAACCATCTCTCTACACATAACAATCTCTCCACAGGGCCCCAGAGCCAATGGAAGAGAAATCATGCGGTGCCTGCTTCTGCCTCTCCTCTCTCTTCCGTGAAAGTAAACATGTGCAGGTGCACATACAAAACCCAGCGCTGTGAAGCCAGATGCCTGCTTACTACAAACAGACACAGGAGCCAAGAGATAGAGGTCAATTCCCACCGGCCAGCCGCAGTCCCCAGAAACAGCATGGCTCAAAGCCAGCTCCGACAAGAAGCAAGGAATGACTTCCTGGAGGACAGGCGGGCATGAAGGGCCTGGGCTATATGCAGAGGGAAGAATCTGGAGGCACGAAGGGGGAGAACCCCAGGGGCAGGTTGCAGGGACAGGATGAGATGATCGCCATTCCCACCCAACTTACTGGAGGGAGAGGGGATGGTCCAGAAATCCAGGAGCACGTAGAAGCCCTGGGAG